GGGCAATTTAAAAGCCTACTGGGAGCTGGGCTTGAGAAGGCTTTCCCTGGCCTGGTTCCCCTTGGTTGGCTTCCTCTTGCCACCCTGCCACTCAGCTGAGCAGTTGGGAGGGGTGTGGGGGTCAAGGGGAAACCAGCAGGTGCCACTCCGTATGCTTGGTTTTCTGTGCCTGGGAATTGAGCAGCGAGAGCAGCAAAGCAAAGCCCCTGCCTGCTTCTCACACCAGGAACTCTGCTCTTAGGGCCCGACAGTTGAGCAGAGGAAGAAGTGGTGGCTGGAGTGGCTCCTCTGGTCCTGGTCGATGGGAGGGGCAGAAGCAGCTTTTGCCAGGTGTCTTCTTAAAACCAGAGGGACCCTCAAGACACAGGAGCCTCTCCCTTGGCTTCACAGGAAGAGTGAAGTTGGGGAAAGTGTATAGATGTTCAGTTTCCCCAGAGAAACTTTCCAGGGCATGACTTAACCCTAGCTGTTCCAGGGTTTTATTTTCTGAGTGGCCATTTTGCTCGGGAGGAGGCCTTGATTTCTGTACACTTCTGGTTTCTCCTTGGCACAGAGCGAGTCTCCAAGTAGAAACTGAACTGCACACATTATTCAAGATGTGGACATACCATCGACTTGTGTAATGGCATGATGGTTTCCATTTTAATAGTATTCAGGTCATATTGTTTTGGAGTAAATATAATGAAAATGTATCTTGCTGTGGAAACTCCTCTGGATATCATGATCCTTTTCTTTCTGCAATTCCTAGATAGATGCAACCCAGGCCTAAATGGCTTAGTAATTTCAGTCAAGTGATTTGTAAACTTTTGATTAAAAAATGCTAAAATAATTTTTCATGAAAACCAAGGATTTTTGCAGGTGATTCCTTTTATTTGACCAATCTGGTGGTTGGGATAGACTTAGATGTGCATTTGGGGACCAGTTTGTCAGTATTTGACAGCAGTTTGACCAGTTTGTCAGCATTTGACAGCAGAAGAGTATTTGCTACTTGAAAGCTCATCTATGTCTAACCCAACCATGCAACTGGTCTAATAAAAGGTATCACCCACAAAAATCCTTTCCTCTCACAAGTTTCCTGGACCATCAGAGCAATATTACTCTAACACTACCAAACTCGTTTTATTTAATTTTAACCTACATAGGACTATGATATGGCCAAGACCATAGATTTCACTGCATGAAACATGGTTTAGAATAGAAATTTAAAAGAAAATTATGATTTAGACTGTGTGAAGTATAATTGAAATCCATCATGAAACCCTGTCTCCATTGGAATCAATGGCAAATGAGGCCTGGTAATTGGCTGAGTACTGGGTGACTGCTAGTTTATTTTTGGCTGATCTTTAAAGATGATTTGTACTATTTCTGTTAATTGAAAAAATATATTGAGAAGGTGTCCCCTGGCAGATGTTATACGTTAGATACTATTATCCTATTAATTGAGCCATAAATAGTAACCCTGTCACACATTCAAGGAAGCAGTGGCATAACAAAATGGACAACCAGCCACAGAAACATTCCACAGAAGATGTGTAATGTTTTTGTGGCTGATTTTCATTGGATAGCGACAAACTGGAGCTGGTTCCAGACTCCTGTGTGGTCCTGGCCCCAGGCCCATTTGGGTGCAGAGGGAGCCCAAGGTCATGATCCTGCATTGGCATTGACTCCCCCTGCATTGGCAAGTAGTAATGGTGTCATTGAGATCTTATCTCTGATCCCAAAATTGCGTGTCCTGCATTGCACATGTGGACTGGCATGAGGCACTATTGTTGTGAGTCAGGGATCAGATCCTATCATGCAATCGAATGCACATGTGCCACAGGCCTAAATATGTAAAATGTTATTTCATGGTTACTTAATTTGTGTTAAATCACTATTTACTAGATGAAATAATTTTCTCTTCAAGAACATTTTATGGATGTTGAGATTCTACATATCAGTTTCAGATTTTTTCAGTTTTCCTCTTTCTTGCAGGGGGACCATTCAAACCAGAACCCACTGACAAGCCTGGTAGGGATTTTCATTGTTTATTAAATGCTGTGCTTTATTAAGATATTTATTGGAGAATAAAATCTTCCTGATTACATACAGTATACATACATTATATACCTTGCAGCATATAAAACCATTGAAGATGCATGGATTATACATGAAGACAAGCAGTATTTTATAAGCAATGATTATAGCTCTATGGAAAAATCCCGGGAGTTTTGCAAGAAGAATTTTGCGGATCTTGCTGTCATTGAAAGTGAAAGTGAAAGGGAATTTCTATGGAAAAATGTAAGACTAAATGTTTGCTTCACAAATAAATAATGTGGCTTTTTTGACAATCTGCCCCTGAACCTGAAAAAAATTAATGGAATCCCCTTTTACTCTACTGTCAGAAATGGAACTGTAAACATTTTTGGATGAGGTGTGTCAGAATTTAGGAGTCAATTTAGGTAACTTCTTTAAAATGTACAATTATTTTGTAATCTTTTCACAGCTGAGAAACAAGTCAATCTAAACTTGTAACATATACATAAATCTCATTGACTTACATTATCCTCCCTCCCATTTTACCTAATTAAGGGAATCTGTTTATTTTGTTTAAGAGATCTTTGAATTAATATAAATAAAGTATTACATTAAAATGATATCTTCCTATTTTAGAGTGATCAGCATGAACCAAGGTGGTATTACATTGGTTTAACAGTGAGCCTTGATAAAAGGTTTAGGTAAGTTACTATAAACACCATGGTTTTTGACATATTGAAACAAATATTCTATTTAGCCAGGGTTAAGACTTTAAAACACTGCCATTACAAAAGGTTGATCGTAATGATAGTGGTTGTGAATTAATCTTAACAGAAGGTTAACTGTACGTGATCACATAACATAAATTTAATTCTTTTTCTTTAACTGTTGTAGAGATTCTTCTCCCTTGATGTCCTTTTCAGCAGATATTAGATCCTGAAACTCCAAGTTATTGGTGGTCTTCATTAAGTGGTGCTTCTTACCACATTTGTCCTTAGAACTCTCCTGATCATCTCCTTTCTAACTACACGCAGGAAAAAATCCTTTGGTATAGCTATCATCAGTTTTTCTGTGTAGAATACTGTCTCTCTAGTTTGCTTCATCCTGGCATTTCTTTGTGCTCTGTTGTACATTCTGAGCTGCTAAATAATATTCTTTGTTTAATATAACACTGTATTTATTCAAATCTAAGATAAGGTTGCCCCACCATTTAGCATGGGGGAAAAGTCCCTCATCTTCAGATGGCATATGAGGGCAGTTGGGAGGGGGGTGGCAGGTGGCTGCTGTGGCTTGTGTTTCAGTTCCTGTCTGTGGTTGGGGCTGTAGCAACAGCTGCTACCTGCCCCTCCAACCTGCACTGCCCCTGCACCTCCTCATGAAAACTTTCCCCCTCCCTTTCCCTCTATCCCCTCCTTACCATTGCTCCATGTTGGCCGGCTCCATCCATGCTGCAGCCTGGGGTACTAAGTAGCCTAAGCCCAGCCTATAGCAACAGTGCATAGTATGCAGAAGGGTGGTGTTGTGCTTAGTGCCCCAAGCTAGAACAGGCACAGAGTCTGTCAGCGTGGGACAAGGGTAAGGATGGAGAAGGGGAGCAGTGGCATGGGGGAGTGAAGAACAGAGGCTGGCGGGGTGGGCAGGCAGGAGGTAGAGATGGCAGGGAGGCAGGTACAAGCAGTGGGCAAACTACATGACCTTTCCACACCACCTGATGCCCCCACTGCCTGACTCCCTTCAGTGGTAGGAGGGATGAATAGAAGATGTCCCTACAATAATTTAATTTCATACATGGGAAATTATAATAAATTTGTAAATCTTGCATGTATAGAATCTAATTTTTTTGGGGGGGTCATTTTATATTCAGTATCATCTTAACTTTGAGTAAAGAGAGGACCCAGGCAACCATAGGTCAATTAGCTTAACTTTTATCCCATGGAAAATCCTGGATAAATTCATCAAGGAGTCTGTGTGTGATATGCTTGCAGAAGGTAGGATTCTGAATGACAGACAGCATGGCTTCATCATGGGCAGGTCTTGTCTTACCAGTCTCATCTCCTTCTACCACCAGGTAACTTGCCACCTGGATAAGAGAGAGGAGGTTGACATTGTGTACCTAGACTTCTAAAAGACCTTTGATATGGTATCCCATGATGTTCTCATGGGAAAATTGGAGGACTGTGGGCTTAACTGCTCGACAGTTAGGTGGGAAGGAAGCTGGTTGCAGGGTAGGACCCAGAGAGGTCTCATGAATGAATCTGTCATCCTGGTGAGAAGTGGCCAGTGGTGTCCCTCAGGGGTCAGTGCTTGGTCCAGTGCTTTTCAAAATCTTTCTCAATGATTTGGATGTGGGGGTGAAGAGCTCACTGACCAAGTTCATGGACAACACAAAGTTTTGGGGGAGTGTGGTCACTCTTGAAAATAGGCTGCAGATACAGATGGACCTAGACAGGCTGGCCAGTTGGGTGGATTGGAACCAGATGAAGTTCAACATTCAGAAGTGTGAAGTGCTCCATCTGGGGACAAACAATCCCCAACATACTTACAGGCTTGGTGGTGCCAAACTGACTAGCATCACAACTGAAAGGGACCTAGGGGTAATACTAGACCATAGTTTGAACATGAGCCATCAGTGCGATGCTGTGTCAGCAGGGTAAACAATATTCTGGCATGCATCAGCTGATGCATCTCATGTAAAACCAAGCAAGTAATTCTTCCACTGTATTCAGCGCTAGATAGAATGCAGATGGAGTACTGTCTCCAGTTCTGGGTGCCACACTTCAACAAAGACGTAAGATCAGAGACTTGCATGGCAAGTCACACGAGGTAAGGCTGAGGGATCTGGGACTCTTCAGCCTGAGAAGAGAAGGCTGAGAGGGGACTTGGTAGCAGGTTACCACTATATCTGGAATACATTAAGGGCTCAGTGAACAACTGTTCACCAGGGCACCCTTGGGAAAACCAGGAGTAATGTCCACAAACTCCTGGAAGACCATTTTAGGCTTACCACTAGGAAAAACTTCTTCACAGTCAGGGTGTCCAGACTACGGGATAAGATTCTTCCAGAGGTGGTGCAATCACCTACCCTGGAAATCTTCAAGAGGAGACTGCACAGTCACCTTGCTGGGGTCACCTGACCCCAGTTGACTTTCCTTCTTAGTGCAGGGAGGCTTGACCCAAAAATCTTGTGAGGCCCCATTCAGCCCCTTATAATCTATGACTTTATGAATTACAGATTTTTTTTTCTATTTTCAGATTTGCATTGACACTTCCTTTCTTCCTGTAAAGGACTGCAACCAGCATCTTTGGTGCCTTTGAGGGCTCCATTTTCTCTTATGCCACTATATAAAGCTTTTCCCTATACC